CTCGGGATTTTAGGCACACACTCACATGTGCTCGGTGTGAATTTTTAGCAGCTGGATCCGGGACTTAAATTGTGGTCGACTATGTGAGAGTTCAGCGACATAACTATTATGCCATCTGCTGGTCCCTACTTCTTTTAAAAATATACTTATTGTTGGGACCAGCAGTTAGCATAACAGCTATGTCGCTGGACTCCCATGTAGTCGAACATGGTTCAAGTCCCGGACCCGGCGGCTTAAACTCACACCGGGCACGTGTGCGTGCGTGCCCAAGTTCCCAAGAGAAGAATGGAGGAGAAGGGATTGCGGCGTGGGCATCCCTCTGGGGGGTGATTTCTAGCTTTCTATCTCTCTGTCTTTCGGGCAAGCGCATGCACCCTATAGCAAAAAAAAACTCTCAAAAAAAAATATATATACATATATACTTATTGTTTATAATAGTGAAAAGCTGGGAGAAAGTTAAAAAGTTAAATGTTGAAAATTTGAATAAAGTATTACATAGAGTAGAAAGTCTTACAGGCAATAAAATGGAGTAAAAAAAAAATAACACAAAATATATTTATAATATAAAAAGTTTTAAAAAGAGCATTTGTGGGGGGCAGCAGGTGGTGTAGTGGTTAAAACACCGGATCCCATACAGCCTACACTGGTTTCAGTCCTAAACCTGGTGTCTTGAAAAACGTGCCAAGTGTTTGTGCTCCAAATGCCAAGAGAGGAATGGAGGAAAAGGGACTGTAGCATGGCCATCCCCCCAGGGGAGGTTATTTCTCTTTCTCATTCTTCCTCCTTTCTCTCTCCTCTGTCTCTCACTCTCCCTCTCTCTCCTCTCTCTTTCCACTCTCCTCTTTCTCTTCTCCTTACTCTCTCTCTCCAACAAGCAAACACACCCTTAGGCAAATTATAAAATAAAAAAATAAGAGTGAAAAAGAGTATCTGATCTCATTTTTGTTAAAATATTTAAGTACTGAACATGAGAAAACATTATTAATTAATTCAACAATTAACTATTGAGAGCCTTCTGTGTACCATGTACTGTTCTGGGTACAGGAGATATAGCTCACACTATAACATTTTTTTTTTCTTAATTTGCTATAGGATGCCTGCACTTGCCAGAAAGGCAGAGAGTGACAAAGAGGGAAAGTGAGAAAACACCCTCAAAGGGATGGCCACAAGGTATCTCCTCCATTCTCCTTTCAGGATTTTAGGTATGCACACACACACATCCAGCGTGTTAAATTTCAAGCCCAGGATACTGAATTTCAAGCCACAGGGTCCTGGACTCAGACAGTTAGCCAAGTGGGACTCAGCCACCTTAACCATCACATTACCAGATGAACCCTAGACTATATACAACTTGACGCAGTTTTTTTTTCTTTTAAGGTTTTTGCCATAGGGCACATGTACTTGCCCAAGAAAGACAGAGACAGTGAGAGGGAAAGTGAGAAATCACCCATTGGGGGGCTGGCCATGCCACAATCCATTCTCCTCCTGGGATTTAGGGCATGTATGTACACATGCCTGGCATGAATTTCAAAACCCCAGGTCTGAGACTTGAACTACAGTTGGCCATGTGAGAATCTACTATGCCACCTACTGGTCCCTTGATGCATATTTTAAGACAATGAATTTTGAGATTTACAGAGTAGAGAGACATAAAATGTCCACAAGAGGAAGAACCATGACAAGATCATCAGCAAAAATGGCTGCCCATAATGCTTTCTAGTTCTGTACACAGGTGCTACTCTTCCCATTAAGAGGGACAATTGAATTCTTCTTCCTTTAAATCTTGGCTGACATCATGATTTTGTCTATTGTGAAAAAAGAAATTGATGAAAACGGTGCTATGTATTTTCAGGCTTAGGTCTTATTAAGCCCAGAAACTTCTGGTTTTGCTCTCTGAATACCCATGTAAGGAAGTCAAGGCTATCTTTCAAAAAATGTGGCCAAGAAGAAAGAAAAGCCTGTTAGCAAACAGGCCATCTGGAGAACAAATGACAGGTCTCAACTGAGATCCAGCACTAAGGTCTGAGACACAGAACTAGGCCCTCATGGGTCCCTTGCTCTACCTGAACCACCTCAGTCAACATCTTATGGAATAGAAAAAGGTATTTTCTACCCCAATTCCTAACCCTCCAAAAAAAATATTAAGACAGAAGCAGTGAGAGGGAAAGTAAGAACCCCACCCCCCCCAGAGGGGATGGCCATGCCACAATCCCTTCTCCATTTTCCTCCTAGGATCTTAGGCATGCATGCACAGGCACCTGGCCTGAGTTTGAAGTCCCCAGGTCAGGGACCTGAACCGCGGTCAGCCACATGGGAGTTCAGCGACATAACCACTGCACCACCTGCTGGCCCCTAACCCCAAATTTATATGCAATAAAATAGTTGTGGGGCAGCTCCATAGCAACAGCAAGAGAAGCTGGATACCATACGGTGACCACAGTTTGAATCACCTTCCCAGTCACCGTGAACCATGCCAGGCATGTCCAAGTGTCCAAGAGATAAGGGGCTGGAGAACTGTAAGAAGAGGACTGCAGCATGACCAGACCCTGTGAAGGGTGCTCATCACCAGTATCTCTCTCTCTCACCCTCTCATACACATGAATGTGCTCTATCATAAATAAAAGGGGAAAATACAGTTGTAATTTCAAGCCACTAAATTCTGAGGTAATCTATTACTGGCAATAGGTAACTGATAACGAATAGTGCAAAGAAATACTACGAAGAAAAAATATTAAGTACTACGTAGGAATTCACATTAGGGACCCTAATCTAACACAGGAGTAGTTTATTTAATACTGTTTTTAAAAAATACTATTTAAAAGACAGAGAAATATGAATGGAATTTTGTAGGCTGGGTTTAAGCTTTGATTTTCCTAAATTTTCCACAGAAAACACATTTTACTTCTGAAATAACAAAAATGCTATTTAGTTTAAAAAAAAAAAAAACTTCCTTTTAATTATCATATTATTGGTTCTGCTGCATTAAGATTTATAAAGACAGGCCAGCAGGTGGTATGGTGGTTAAGGTACTGGACTCACACATGGCCAGTCATGGTTTGAGTCCCAGACCTGGTGGCTTGAGAATCACACTGGGTGCATATGCATGCATGCCCAGAATCCCAAGAGAGACTGCGGTGTGGTGATTTTTCACCTTTTTTCTCACCATCTCTCTCTCTGTCTCTTTAGCAACCACACATGCCCAATGGCAAAAACAAAAGCAGGAGAAACATGCCAGGTGCATGTGCATACATTCCCAAAATCCCAAAAGGAGGGAGACATGGAGGAGAAGGGATTGTAGTGTGACCATTCTCCCGAGGGGTGGCTTTCTTACTTCTCCCTCTCTGTCTCACTCCAGGGAGAATGTATGTGTACTCTGAAAAAATGTAAAAAAAAAAAAAAAAGAGAGAGAGAGAAAGGAAAGAAAAGAAAGGAGGGGGGAGGGGGGAGAAAGGGAGGTTGGTTAATAGAGTAATTCTTTTAAAAAGGATAATAAATATTTTAATTACAAAATTAAGAGTGAAAAAGGGGTCAGCAGGTGGCATGACGGTTAAGGCACTGGACTCACATGGCTGACTAATTTGAGCACTGGACCGGGTGGGTTACTTTCTCTCTCTCTCTCTCTGTTTCTCTTTCTGGTGAGCACATATGCCTGATAGCAAATTAAAATAAGGATAAGTTTTGGATCAGCCACTGCCATAATGGCTGTCACTGGACTCCCACGTAGTCGACTGCTGTTCGGGTCCCGGGCCCGGTGGCTTAAACTCATTCCGGGGGCGTGTGCATGCGTGCCCAAGATCCCGAGAAGAGAATTGAGGAAAAGGGATTGCAGCATGGTCATTCCCCCTAGGGGGTGATTTCTTGCTTTCTGTCTCTCTGTCTCTCTCTTTCTGGTGAGCGCATGCGCCCTATAGCAAAAATCTCTCCAAAAAAATTAAAAGAATAAGTTTTAAAAAGAAGAATGAAAATGACCCAAGAAGACTGTAATAATGGACTAAAACAAGAAAAACTTTTAACAGTAGTCATTGAAAAGACATAGACGTTTAGGGATAAAAATAAATCAACCACATAAAAGTCTAAGAGAACAAAATAACACAGTCTAATAGCATAAAAAGGCCTTGGGTTTTCACTATCATAAGTAAATTAGCCGACAGGAAGTAAGCCATATTAACATAAAAAATGTTAATGTCATCTTAGACTTCATTAATAAACTTAATTAACTGAAAACCTATAATGCACCATTTACTTTACTAAAGCAGTGAAAGGACCCAGGGAAAGAATACTCTTACCATATTTGGAACTAATCAAAGTGTTAAGCCCATATAAAGGAAATGGTTGAGAGCAGAAGACAAGTGTGAGCTACCAAAAAGAAAAGACTTTCTCATTCAAATGCTATACTAAAAGAAGAAAACCTCTTGAAACAGTATTTTCTTTTTGCCAAAACAAACTGACTACGATGTGTTAGGCATTGTGCTAGGATATGCGATGGAAAACAGACAGATACTGCCCCTGTCCTCAACTCCGGTATAGACGAGTGAGTGCCCTATCACTGGAGACCTTTCATAAGTACCAGATAGTAACCTGTCAAGCATCACTACAGAAGAGATCCATGTATTTGATGTTAGATTGGGTTAAATTATCTCCAAAGTCACTTCTAAATCAAAAATGTTGTAACTATAGCACTGTACTATAATAAATGTCTAATAAATAAAATAGCAGGCAAACCAAGATACACACACACACACACACATAGATTTTTTTTTACTATTTCCTCCAAATAAAACAATCATGTCGATTCATTTATACAGCCTTCATAAGCAAACTACTCAAAATCAACTCAAATCTAAGTTAGACACTTCTATCTCAAATTTTTACATCATTTCAAACAACAAAAAAGTTATTAAAAATCTCCTTACCCTAACAATTACCTTACCCTAGTTAAAACAATTCGAAAGAGATTATATCTATGATTTCTCGGGTTTTTCTTGTATCAATCAATATACCTTTCCATGGCTTTAGCTGTGTAAGGCAAATGCATTTCAATACTGTGTTCATCTTCATCTGTTTGCAGAGACATGCGTTCGAACATTCCCGTTTTCCATAGTTCTCCATAAACTAAAGAGATTTAAAAAATTTTAAAACAAATATATTAATGAAAATGCTTATCTTGCAGGATTCACAGAGTAACACAAAACTACACATTTTGGCAAGAAACTAAAGTACCATATAGTATTCTCCTTCATTTTGATTGAAAGAGAAAACAAGGGGCCAGCAGGTGGAATGGTGCATTGAGGTGCTGGACTCCCTCATGGCCGGCTGCGGTTCAAGTCCTGGACCACCTGGCAGTTTGCACATTCTCTCTCTCTCTCTCTCTCTGGTGAACTCATGTGCCCTATAAATTTTTTTAAATAAAAAGATAATAATAATAAATACAATTAAATAAATATATTTTTAAAAAAGAATAAACTAGTTTTGCTTTGTTTTGTTTTGTTTTAGAGATTTTTGCTATAGGGCATTTGCCCTTGCCAGAGAGACAGAAAAAGAAAAATCATCCCCCAGAGGTGATTACACCGCTATGTCTTCTCCTCCATGCTACTCTTGGGATTCCAGGCATGCATGCACACACACCTGGTATGAGTTTCAAGCTGCAGGGTCCAAGGCTGGAACCATGGTCGACCATGTAGGAGTCCAGCAAAGAAACCATTACGTCATCTGCTGTTCATTTTTTATGTGCCAGGTAAAACAGTAATACGAGTAAAGACCTGCACATCATTTGAATATGTTACAGTTATATAAAAATTATACTTAAATTTTTCATCAGTTACTTTCATTATTTCTAAAATCACCTCTGGACCTAGGCTTTTCTTTTAATCAGTACATGCTAATAATAACATAGTTGATTAAAATTCCTATTGACAAATTGGAAAACCACTGATCTATTATATTTACTAACCAGGTTCATGATATAGTTTTGAAGTTTTATTTGTTTATTTGTGGTTTTAGTTCACATCTGAGGTTTCTGCCATTCCAAGAACAGAAAATTCTCACTAAGTATGCTATTTCATTGAAAACTGGAAATTCAGCCTGTGGGACAGATAAAACATAAATTCACCATAATAGCATACTAACATAAAAGGACCTGGTAATTCATATTTAAAACCAGACTATTAAAGAAAAAGATAAAGTTTACTATGTAAAAAATATATATATAGGTACCAGCAGTTAGCATAATGGCTATGCTGTTGGACTCCCATGTAGTCAATCACGGTTCAAGTCCTGGACCCGGTGGCTTAAACTCACACCGGGTGCGTGTGCGTGTGCATGCGTGCCCAAGATCCCAAGAGGAGAATGGAGGAGAAGGGACTGGAGCGTGGCCATCCCCCCTGGGGGGTGATTTATTGCTTTCTGTCTCTCTGTCTCTCTCTGTCTTTCTGGAGAGCACACGCGCTCTAAAGCAAAAAAAAAAATAAAACCTCTCCAAAAAAAGAAAAAAAAGGGGCCAGCAGGTGGCGAGGTGGTTAAGGGCACTGGGCTCCCACATGGCTGACTGCAGTTCAAGTCCTGGACCTGGCAGCTTACTTTCTCTCTCTCTCTCTCTCTCTCGCTCTCGCTCTCGCTCTCTCTGTCCCTCTCAGGTCAAATTAAATAAATAAATAATTCTTTAAAATACATATATACATATATATGTATGTGTGTGTGTGTATATGTACGTATGTATGTAAGTATGTATGTATACAGGGCCAGCAAGTGGCATGGTAGTTAAGGCGTTGGACACTCCCACATGGCTAGCCAAGGTTCAAGTCCCAGACCTGGTGGCTTGCTTTCTTACTTTCCTTCTCTCTGTGTGTCTGTCTTTCTCTGGTCAAATGATAATAAATGAATGAATACGGGAACCAGCAGTTAGCGTAATGGCTATGTCTCTGGACTCCCACGTAGTCAACCACGGTTTGCATCCCAGACCCAGTGGCTTAAAACTCATGCTGGGCGCATGTGCGTGCGTGCCCAAGATCCCGAGAGGAGAATGGAGGAGAAGGGATTGCGGCGTGACCATCTCCTGAGGGTTGATTGCTCGCTTTCTGTCTCTCTGTCTCTCTCTGTCTGTCTGGCGAGTGCACGCGCCCTATAGTGAAAACCTCTCCAAAACAAAAAAGAATGAATAAATAAAATTAAATAATTACTTTAAATATATACATACATATGTATACAAGAATATTTTCACTTTATTATCAGATAGAACCATCATTCTTAAACTAGTAGGTTTACTGATATCAAAGAAAAGAAATGATAGTATGGTTTCTTTTCTTTTTTTTTCTTTTTGCAAGGTGTGTGTACTCACCAGAAAGATACAGAGAGACAGGGAAAGTAAGAAAGCACCCCAGCATCCACACCCTCTGGGGTCTGGCCATGCCAAAATCCATTCTCCTCCATTCTCCTCCCATGCTTTTTAACCTGCCAGGTCTGTAAATCGAGCCACACAGTCAACCATGTGGGATCCAGTCACCCCACCACAGCACCAGCTGGCCCCAGTGTAACCTTTTCTACAGACTCCTACCTAGTTGAAAATTCTCCATTTTGGGGACCAGCAGATGGCATATGGTCACGTCACTGGACTCCCACATGGCTGACTGCAGTTCGAGTATAGACCCAGAGGTTTGAAACTCACACCAGGAACATGTGCATGTGTGCCCAAGATCCCAAGAGGAGAATGGAGGAGAAGGGACTGTGGTGTGGCCATCCCCCCTGGGGGGTGATTTCTTACTTTCTCTCTCTCTCTGGCAAATGCACATGCCCTACAGCAAAAATCTCTCTAAAAAAAATTCTCTTTTTCGGGGTCAGCCAGTGGCATGATGGTTAAGGCACTGAACTCTGACATGGCCAACCATCGTTCAAGTTCCAGACCCAGTGGCTTGAAAAGCACACTGGATGGACTTGCGTGCGTGCCCAAAACCCTGAGAGGAGCATGGAGGAGAAGTGATTATGGTATGGCTACTCCTCTGGGGGTGAGTTCTCACTTTCCCTCGTTCTGTTGAGCATACACACTCCATGGGAAAAAAACTACAAAAAATTTAAAAATCTCCTTTTTTCCATAACAGGCTATCCAAAAGTAAAATTTTCTGAACGCCCTAACAAGATTTTAGAAGTAAACTGCGTCCCCCTAAGCCATCTTAGGGAGTAAATTTAGTTAATACTCCAGCTTCATTAATTAAATGCATTCTAACAACAAATTGCTAATACCCTGATACTTAAAACTCCAAATTATAAAACTTAGGCCTAAAATAACTAAAAAAGCTAATCATTTCTTTCACAAATGAATGCTTTCATTCTACAGAAGAAATTGCTGCAAAACTTCTTGAAATAGTTGCACCTCTAATATTCTTAAAATGTAATTTAGTGAACTGGAGGGATACACACCAAACTTGTAAAGGTGGTTACTTTTGAGAAGATAAACTGAGTTCAGGAAGAGAAAAAACTAATTAAATTGTGAATAATGAGTGCATCAATATGTGTTATGCTACTTGCTAAACTCTTCTGTACCTTTTACATTATTCTAACTCCTACCTATATAAAGTCAAAATGTTTCACTTTACATATCTATTTTGGAAGAATCAATTAAATCAAAATGTGACTTCTGGAACCCTATGTAAAGTAAATAAATAAATTAAATAGCAGACATCTTTAAAAATAAAATTGGGGCCAGCAGGTGACACTGAGGTTAAGGCAGCTGGACTTCACATGGTTGACTACATTGTTTGAGTCCCTAATCCAGTGGCTTGAGAAACACGCTTGGAGCACATGCTTGTCCAAAATCCTGAAAATAGAAGAGAAGGGACTGAGGCGTGGCCATCTCCCCAGTGGGTGATTTCTCAATTTCTCTTTCTCTCTCTCTCCCTCTGTGTCTCTCTCTGGCAAGTACACCTGCCCTATAGCAAAAGTAAATAAAATACATATTTATATTTCTTTTTTTTTTTCAGATTTATACAGCTCCTTTCTTTTAGAGTTTCACAATAAGTCTCATTTTTCCCATAAAAAATATTTGAGAGAAAATAGAGATAGTATCACCACTACCCATTTACAGTGAAATAAGTTATAACAAGCCCAAAATCTTTCTTCGGTTGGTATGGTACTCATATCCTGTCTCACGGTACAATTACTCCATGGTACTTCCAAGAAAATAAATGTAACCAATTATGTCTAGAAATTAGTAGATCTGACAAGAGGTCTGTGCCTAGCAAGAAAACACTATTTGTCTTTTAGGAATAAGGAAGATATTCTTTCTTTGCTTTTATCTGATGCAGATGATTATAATGAATTTTTTAATTGTGATATTATAATTTATGATATTTACTTTTTGTTGAAGAATTATTTAATTTTATCTTTTCTTTTTTTTTTTTTTTTTTTTTTTTTTTTTAATTTGCCATAGGGTACATGCACTCAAGAGATAGAAAGATGGAGAAAGTGAAAAAGCAAGCTGCCAGGTCCAGGACTCAAACTGCAATCCACCATGTAGGAATCCAGTCCCTTAACCACCATGCCACAAACTGGCCCTGGTATTCACATTTTTAAGTTCTTAAATTACCTTTAAATTTATATTTTAAAAATGTTAGCTATTTAGAAGGTTTAAGATCTGCAGTTAGCCTTCCTGCTATTATGTCTTCCATCCAATCTTTCAGTCTCTGCTATAGTGTGCAGACATTCGGTATAAATTAAGCAAGGACATGCAATGCCTGCCTTGCAGTCTGGCTTACTTCACTTAGCATTAAATCTTCTATATTTGTCCACTTTATATCAAATGTCAAGTTCTCCTTGCTGAGTAGTGTAGAAGTGGGTGGCAAATAGGAAGGGTAGGGAGTGGGAGGGAGGGGATCAGGGAAAACAAAAAACATTTAATAGATACCAAAAAAAAGTTATCCGTTAATGATAATGTATATGGTAATGTCTTTGACTTGCTTAATACGCACTATATTCATGCTAGGAAAAACCATGTTATATACTGTTAAGATGTAGTGATGGGACCAGCAGATAGCATAATGATTTTACATCACCGGACTCTGACAGACTCAACGCAGTTCGAGTCCCGGACCGGGCGGCATGAAACTTATGTCGGGGGACAAGCAGACGGCGTAACGGTTATAACACTGGACTCCCATGTAGTCGACCACAGTTCGAGTCCCGGGCCCAGTGGCGTAAAACTCATGTTGGGCATGTGAGCATACATGACCAAAATCCCAAGAGGAGAATGGAGAAAGGATTGCAGTGTGTCTATAACCCTGGAGGGTGATTTCTTGCTTTCTGTCTCTGTCTCTCTAGTGAGCACATGCACCCTATAGCAAAAATCTCACTTAAAAAAAAAAAAGATTTTTAATGTACATTGATGAAATGTAAACTTAAGAAAATTTTAAATGACACAAATAAAAGCTATAAGATTTCTCTATACTTACTCTTTTGGTCAATACGAAGGTCATACAAAGGTGTCCTATATATATCCACACTGGAAAGTGCACATCGAGAGAGGGGCACATGATGAGAAGGCCCAAGGATGAAAATTCTTCGGCTAGAAGATAAACAGTTTAAAAAAAAAAAAAAAAGAAAGAAAAAAAAAAAGCCAAAACAACTGAAAATCTATACAAATCTTACTAAAAAGAAAAAGTAAGTAATTCTAAAAAATTACTTGCTTTCCTTTCAGACTGATTTCATCATCTACTTTTCAGGGCTTATCTATATTCCCCAAAATTCTTACAATGAACTCTCAACCCCCAATACTTTAGATTGAAACTGTATTTGGCATTAATGTCTTTCAAGAGGTAAGTAAGTTAAAATGAGGCTGTTAGGGTAGGCCCTAATCCAAAGCGACTGGTGTCCTTATTAGAAAAAGAGACACCAGGGGTGTGCCTGCACAGAAGGACAATGATATGTGAAGAGGCAACAAGAAGGCAGCCATGTACAAGCCAAGGACTCATTCAGCACCTGGATACTGGACTTACAGCATCCAGAACAATGAGAAAATAAAGGTCTGTCGCTTAAGATGCAGAGTCCATAGCATTTAGTTATGGCACCCCCTAGCAAACTAATACATCTAACGATTTGTTCTTCAGTTAATTAAGTTCAATTCCTTGTTTTGTCTTTATATTAGGAAGCCTTTAACAGACTCAATACTGGCAAATACCAGCTATCCATTTTCACAGAAAGTCAACTTGCTATACATAAAATCATCTCTGTATTTACACAGCTAGAATGCACGATGGTACATTTTATTAACTAAATTTAAGTATTGGGGCTATTAAAATCTCAAAATCCTAACAAACTCTGAAATCACCTATTAAAAATCTACCACAACTTTCATAAAAATACTAATCGTATAAAATTCTAAAAATTCATATAAAATGTCATTACAAAGAGGCATTCTGATAAGAATTATTTCTGCATTTCTTCCATGGCTGAGAAAAAATGGCATCTTATTGAAAAGAATTCTATGGAATAAGCTTTCTCTATTCCCATTCAAGTAGAAGTCATTCCCCAAAACAAAGAAACTTGATTATGTATTTATCTGCACTGTACTCTAAAGAAAAGAACTGGGCTAAACTGTAGCTTAAATCTTTGTAAAATCTTTATTATGACATCAGGAGCAAAATTAACTTGCTCTCATTTTATCTCAAGTACACACTACCCCTACAACCTAAATTCCCCCAAGTATCCATTTTCTCTGTTTTCTAAGATTCATACAAACCAATCTTCCCCCATCACACACAAACAAAAAAACTATAACAAAAAAGAATATATGCTAGGCTCTGTACAGTTATGGGCTGCATAACAACATTTTGGTCAACAACGGACTGATATCTAACACTGGCTATTAAAAGGACTATTGGGCTCTACCACATGGGTAGGTATGTAGTTAGGTATACCACCTACATTTCTGTAACTACTGAGTTGGAAAAGTCATGACATATTTTTCTATTCACAAATGCACTGTGACTTTCCAATGACCCAATACATTCTTTGATGTTCGCACAATGATGAGATTGCCTGAATGTGTGTTTCTTAGAAAGTATCCCTGTTCCGTGGTACATGACTACATCTAGAAGATAAAATAGAGGCTAAGCATCCATAATCCAAAATCTAAAATCCAATATGCTCCATGATCCAAAACTCTTTTGAGTTCTGACATGACACTATAAGTGGAAAATTCCACACGTGACATCACGTGACAGATTCCAGTCAAAATGTTGGGTTTCTGACTGGACATGGATTTTGACTGGGCACCAGCCAGTGGCATCGTGCTTAAGGCCACTGGATCCCACATGGAAGACTGCACAGTTTGACTCCCAGACCTGGTAGCTTGTGAGACATGCCATGTGTGCATGCCCAGGAAGGCGAGATGGGGAAGGAATCTCAGTGTGACCATCCCCCATGGGAAAGCTTTCTCTTTCCTTCTCTCTCTCTTTGGAGAATGCACGTGCCCCTGGCAAATAAAAGCACTACAAAATAGGCCTAGCCATAGAGGTGGCTAAGATGCTGTGCTTTAGAGGCTGGGACCACATGGCAGGTTCAATTCCCAGTCCAACTCTAAGTGTAGGTACAGTGGCATGTTCCTGTAAAGTCAGCAACTGAGGAGGCTGAGGTAGAAGGATGGAGAGCTCAAGGCTATTCCAGGCAACACAGGGTGACCCTGCCATAAAAGAATCAAGAGCGGCAGCACATGCCTGTAGTCCAGCTGAGAGGATGAGGTAGGAGGATCACAACTGCTAGACCCAGTCTTAAAAAGAAAACAAAAAGGCCAGCCCTACTGTAGCCTAGTGGTTAAGGGATATGGAGCCCACCTGGCTGACTGAGGTTTGAATCCCAGCCCCAGTGGCTTGAAACGCATGCTATACATGAGTATGTGCCCCAAATCTCAACAGGACAAAGAGATGGAAGAGAAGAAAATTATGGTGTGACCACACCCTACTGGGGGATATTTTCTTTCTCTCTCTCTCTCTCTCTCTCTCCCTAAAGTGTGCATGTACTTTCTGGCAGTTAAAAGAAAAAAACCTGTGTATATGAAATATGTATGAAATATAAATTTCATGTTTAGATTTAGGTCCCATTTCCAAGATATTATATATATGTAAATATTCCAAAATCTAAAAAAATTCAAAATCTGAAACACACTGATCTCAAGCAGTCCAGACAAAGGATACTCCACCTTTACTACTTACTGTTCAGCTAATGGATACAATGGAGTTGAGCTAGTTCTTTCATATCAAAATTTTGTAGTCTAACTAATGTGTACTTTAGTAATGTATTAACTTGATTCTATTATGGCTAAGAAAATTAATTTATTATTTCCTATATATTAATTCATATACCAGGGAGAAGGAGATAAGAAAGTGTACAATAAGTCATTCTCAGTTTAGAGTCCCAAAACCTCCTCAAGAAGTCACATATAGCAAATAAACATGCCTCTACCTAGAAACCATTTCTGGTCAAAAACAATCTCTTTTCCTTTCTTTCTCCCCCCAATATGTAATTAGCACTGCTAATGCTTACTTCTTATCTACCAGCAACTCAAAAAGCATTAAGGGAGAAAAAAAATAACATCAAAACTAAGAAATATCGCTTTTTTTGTTTTAATTCTTCCATGAATGAGAGACATAGAGACACAGAGACCCCAAACAGGGTAACAGGGTCTTACGGCCACGACCCACCCCATCCTTCAGCCAATCCGAAGTTACGGGTTCTGCTGTGCCTGGGCATACTCATGGAGGGCTCCAGACACAAACCAGGGAACTTCCCACGAGGTTCAGCCTCCCAGAGCATTCCATTTCCCCTGTGCCTCTATCCTGTCCTGTTCTCCTATCTTAACAGCACGTAAATACCATGACCATTTTTAAAAGTGTAATGTGAGACAAAATGGTAAATGAGGACGTTTTTAGGTGACTTGCTTAAGGCAAGGTATTACAAACCAAGAAGCAAGTATGAAAAAAGACATTTTTCTTATTGACAAACATACTCTTATGAAAAGACAGACAGCTATAATATTTAAAACCAGAACACTTCTGGAAAAAGCTAGGACATAGAGTTAAAATTATGGAATGATTTTTAAAATACCAATCTAAACTCAAAGCATAAATAAACTTCATAAGGAAATGTAACAAGGCTTTAACAGAGGCCAAAAGATTGGTACTGCTTAAAAAATAAATACACGAAAGTCTGCTGGAAGCCTAACTGCCTCTGTGAACCCAATTCCTTGCTTGCCTTTCTATCAGACCCAACCTAGATGAGGAGAAAGGAGCCCCACTGATATGAATTAACAACTGTGTACTCAACAGATTCATGACAGTTTGGCAGAAACTCAACCATAGTCAACAGGGTAAAGTGCCACATTTGATTAGGAGAAATAATGAGAGAGAAAAAAAAAAAAGAGAGAGAGAGAGAGAGAAAGAGACTCAGGTCTCACTAGTATAATACTTTTAAAAGTAATGAGTCACAAAATTAAAAAAAAAAAAGTAAACTAAATTATCATTGAAAAGAAAGGAAATAAGGGCATATTGACCACTAGGTATCTCAAAATGGGCCTCTTTGTTAGCTAAACATCAACAAAGTATAAAGTTCATTTTTTTACTAGCTCCATCAACATCAAGCCCATAGATTTTTTTTTTAAAGAGTTTTGTTATAAGGGCGAGTGCACTTGCCAGTGAGACAGAGAGAGACAGAAAGAAAGAAATTACACACACACACACACACACCCAGAGGAGGTGGCCACAGCACAATCCCCTCTCCTCCATTCTCCTCTCAGGATTTTGGACACACACGCACACACACATACACCCAGCATGAGTTTAAACCAACGGGTCCGAGACTCAAACCATAGTTCGACTACACTGGAGTCCAGCAACATAATTACATCATCTGCTGGTCCCAGCCCATAAATTATTTTAGAGAGAAATGAGTACTGTAGATATTGAAAGTAATGCCACTTTCTCTCTCTCTCTACTTAACTGCAAGTCCATTGTCTTTAAAGAAGTAACTTCAATGTAAGTAACTTCACTGCTGCTATACAGGTGACCAAACTCTTTAATGTGAAAAAAAAAAAAATGAGGAAAAATCATTAGGTATTCTCTTGGAATTAAATATGGTTCACATATAATAGCTCCAGAGAATTCAGATTTATGGAGTTACTTACTATTAGGAATATAGTCTATACACACTGTAAGCTACCTGAGTATCTACCCTTATAAGTATTTATTCAAATACTTATTCCAAATAATGGAGCACGATTTTTAAAAGATGTTTCAGGGGATATAGAAATATTTTAGCTAGAGAATAAAATGTCAGGGCCACCAGGTGGTGTGATGGTTAAGGGCACTGGATTCCCACATGGCTGACTGGTTCAAGTCCCGGACCTAGTACTTGCTTTCTCACTATCCCTCTCTCTCTCTGGTCAAATTAAAAAATAAGTTAATAAATAAACAAAGTTAAATAAAACAATTCTTACCAAAAAAATAAATAAGTAAAACATCATATGGTCCCAAAGATGACTCCTTTTGTTCTCTTTTTCTGTCTCTCAGAATT